CATTGTGTAACTTTGTGCTTAATTACAAACAAACATTATTTAAAACAAAACGTGGTCATGATAAAAAAAATGTTTCATCAATCAATAATATTGAATCCAAATATATTTCTTTATAGGCTTTAACTCATTGCATATAAGCTAGCCAGCAGTAATGTTATATTGCTAGATAAAATACTTAGACCTTAGTTAAAATTTATAATCTGTACTGCAAATTTGTACGTTTAGCAAGTAGATGTGATTCTCTCTGTGACTACATGCTGAAAATCAGTATGCCAAACAGATAACATTTTAAAGTATTAAAAGTTAATGGGTCACACACACCTTTCATGCTTTACTCATGGCCACCCCAGTTAAAGACAAGTGTATAGTGAGTCTGAAGTTTAGAATTTTTATCATGTGGCTTTGTTTATCCGTAGGTTAAAATCGTTGTTTATACAGATTATTTTAAAACTGTACTATTACACTATTATTGAATTTAAGTTGTATAAAAAGTTTGAATTTTGTTCTGTCATTTTCTAAAACTTTTAATCAGTGACTATCTAAGCACTGTATATTTTAATGTAGTATTCTTTCATAATAAATATACTATTTTTTGTTCATTTCCATTAACAGTTACTTAAATTAGTGCCATTGTTCTCTTTGTGTAAGGAGTGCATTTGGATATCAACATACATCAATGTTAGCACTGACATATGTATTATAGTGTATACCATAACATCTAAGTTGACGTTTTGGTACTTGTCTTATTTTGAAACTTAACATTTTTCATTGATTACATCACTAACCATTTGTTTATTGAATTCTGTCAGGAAGAAATATTGTTTAGTGTTTCTTATTTTTTGGCCAGGTTTAACTCTTATTTTATGTGGGATGTCAGCTACGTGTAAGATCTTTTTGTTATTGAAGGTACCACTTGAAGTAGCTTGTTTATTTTGCAAAGCCCTGAGTGACATACACAGTTTTAACCCTATTTTTCTTTGTGGCCTGTGAAGCTATTGCATTTGTTATGTAATTTCTTTGGCATTTGTACTATCAATACTTGATAAGAACTTTCTCAGATGTCCCCAAACTTTGTGTGTGGTTACTGTCCAGCCTCTTATATTAGTAAACATCATTTTATTTCACAGAAAACCGTATTATTTAAGCTAATTTCAAAATAAAGGCATGTTGAAAAATGTATTTTGATACTAAGTTAAAAATATTATTGTTATGGAAAAGGCATGTTTTATCTGTCACTTACTGTACTGCAGCATTTTTCTGTCATTTCATGTTAGACTTACCTTTTAACGTGTAAAAGCTGTTTTGTTATGCTTTTGTCAAATATAAAATTATTTTTCTTTCAACATTGGGGCATTACTGTTTGTTGTTGTTGTTTTTTTCTTGTTTAATTGTGAACTTTCTTGTTACCTGAATGGTTTTTGTTGTAACCATGGTCAGCACAAAAGAAACAAAATTTCTCTGTTCTCTATCATTGCTTTTCTTAGTAGGTCAAGCATCCTCAGACCTAAGTTCTATTTTGGTTCAGTCCAGATGGTCATGGTTATTTATAAATCATGCTATTTAGGTTAACAACTTCTATTTCTGTTTTTGCCTCAGTTGCTTCTTGACAATCTATCCATCCCTCAATTTTCACTTTGTGCAAAAATAACCACTTAACGCAGAAGACCTGAGTGCAAGATACTTTTTTTATAGTTTCAGTTTTTTTCTTTCTGTTAATATTTAAAATAGATGTAGAATTAGGCTAAGAAAAGCTTTCTTCTTTCCAGTAAGTAATAAACTTGTCAACTTCACAAATTTGTATAGATTATACATACATATGTGTGTGTGTGTGTTTGCACAGTTTCCGTAGATGATCTTAATTCATTGTGTTTTTTTTCATTGCAAAAGTTATTTGTGAGCTTATTTTTCTGTTGCTAAAAGATAGTGCAATAGAGCAATTTATTTGGTTTAAATATATAATCATTTAATCACTACTAGTAATCTAAAATTCTTTAGGAACTAGTCTGTTGCAGCAGAACTAGTTACTCAGAGAATAGATTAGGCCTATACATATTTTCTTCATTGAACTTCACCTTTTGGGGAAGAAATTGAATTAGCAAGATAGAACAGTCAGCTTGTAATATACTTCCTGTTACTAATAATGAATAGCTTTTGGATCCTGCAAGTTACATAACCATGTTTGTTAGTGACACTTGTTTGCAAATGTTGTATTCTCTTCCCAATGCTGTTGTTTATGGTGATCTGTGTAAGTTAATTTTTGATGATGAGGGGTGTCTCCAATTTTAACTACTGTACTCACACAAACTTAAAAATTGTTTTCACTAGACTTTTACAACAATTTGTGAGAATGATCTTTATGTAGTGAATGTGTACATATTCTGGGATGAGGAAAGCTCTACTTGTTGACTGTGTTACCTCTAAACTTAAACATTTTTAAATAGGTACATGTTCATTCTATACAATTACTTTTGTAGTTTTCAAAGTAATTTCAACAGATGTTCTAGTTATCTTACCAGATAATTAGCAAACATCTGTACTTTCTGTATGTGGGAGAGAAAAAGAAATTGAATTAACAGTATTCATTTGGAGTTGTAAACCAGTCAAACTTAGTGAATTTAAAGTCTTCTTTATGCTTAAAAAGCTTGGACAAACAAAAGTTAATAAGACGTGGTTGTTTAGATCAGTTTATTCTGTTAACTGTGTATACAAAAGTTAATGAAAATATCTGCATATCTGACTCAGTAGAAAAACATAAAATATAATATACAGAAATAAGAGTACATGTATATTAGTACATTACAGCTACAGAATCCCAAGATCCATGTATTGGTAATCTGTACATGTTAAACACTATTCTATTTCTAACAGTTTTCTACAATTTCTTGATCTGAAATTATACCCTTGTGCATACAGGATCAAGAATGTGTGTTTTATGAAAGTGAAACTAAGGCACTGTGTAACACTGTCAATTCATTTCTCACTGAGTAAAATAGGCCATAATTTTGTTAATATTTTTACACCCACAGTTAAGACTACTATATTAGTTACCACTGCATCCTACAAGTACAGCTACGTACTGGCATATTACAATGTAACGAATTTGACTGTGAAGTTCAACAGTAATTAACTACTAATGTAAAATGTTTAGATCTACAGAACTTTAAAATCATGTTGAAAACATAAGAAAAATATTAATTGATTTACTATTTATTCAGGTCTGTTATTTGTATTAAAACTTAAAATTAATAAACATGTTTTTTTGGGCCTAAGCTCTATAACATATATTTTTGGTCCACTCAAGTTTACTAGTGTAATATATTTGTTATATATCTACCCAAAATAAAGCATTAAGTTAAGGTTTTAATAAGAAAACTTGTAATGAAATTCAGATGCACTTAGCTTCATTTTAAAACATTCAATGAAAATCATAATGCATTCTTTTGCACATTGGCAAAGCATCACTTGACAGTGTGCAATCAGTGAATGTTGGGCTGTGAAATACAAACAAACAAACAGACTACATCAGATTAATTGTTATGAATTTTGACTACTGTGCTTTCAGGCTTTAAAATTGGCCATATTACATACAATAAAGACATGAAATTTTTAACTGATGTGTTTGATAACCTACAATTTAAAAGTTGGTTGTTTTGAATGTTCATGCAAAGCTACACTAGGCTATCTAAACTAACAATCCCTAATTTTGAGCCGATAGACTAGAGGAAAGGCAGCTAGTCAGCAGCACCTACTCTAATCAAATAGTGGGATTTGGCCATCAGTCATATAATGCATCCATGGCCGTAAAGTGTGGAGTGTGATTGTTTATTTGTGGCAGCAGGATAGGAACCATGGACCCTTGTATTGACAGTCCAACACATTAACCACTAGGCCGTACCGGCTCACATTTCAAAAATGAATAAATGTTGATGATTTTTGCCAATAAGTGAGAAAACTAGTTTTAGAGAGAGAGAGAAAAAAAACCAGAATTATCTCGCATGATAAAGATATGAAAAGGCTGCTTCTCATACAAGAACAACACAAAGTGCAGATTAAGTCCAGGTAATCTTAAGATTACAGGAATGGAAATGCACACAATTAGTATCACACAGTCTGGTGATAGTTATTCTTAAATGACAAGATGATCTTATTAACCTCTTTGAAGAGAATGGAAAAGGCAGTGTCTTTTTAGTTTTTGTTTCTAAATTTATTTATTGTAGATAAACAAACATCAATAATTCCAATCATTGATCAACCAACCATCAGAGTAGTCTCATTATATTGTTTCTTCAGTCATACATAGGATTGGTAATATTTAGCATAACAAGTCATGTTAAGTCAATACCCACTTGGTATGTAAGATATTTGCAAAATCTTGTGGAAGAAGTGTGGTATTGATATGTTATAAATCACTATTTGTCATCCCACTGTGATGCCTGTCACTTTGTTTTATAGCTGTTGATGTTTACACAGTATTTATTCTAACTTGCAATGACCTACACAGTACATTGTAGTGTCTTATTAAAAGCAGGTTTGTGCAATATAAACTTACATGGCTATTGAATTCAACTTGAATTATATTCCTTTTATCACTCAAAAAATAAATCCTCAATTAAATTTAAAGGAATAATACAGATAGGGTATTATTAAATAGTTTTAAGTGATAATTGTTTTGTGAACTAGAGATAACACGTTTTGATTTCTCTTTTTTCTCTTTTTCTCTCAATCTCAAAAAAATTCTTAAGTTTCTGAAGTTTAAAAACTAATATTGAATGTTTTTATGCTATAATTAGCCAGAAACATTTTTTCAAATTACAAATTAAATGTCTGAAATATATCTATTACATCCTTAATTGGTTAATAAAAACTTGTATATCTGATGATGTGTTACTGAAATAAATAATGTGCATAAAAGTTTGTGACTGAGCTATTTTTGTTCAGAATATGATATTCTGATATGAAAATCTGTGTTTCATTAGCTTATTGCATGATTTACCTATAACTGTCTTTGATCTATTTCTTCTCTCTTATAAATTAGTCTCTCTTTTTTTTTCTTTTTTTTTTTTAGTAATTTTAATCATGCTCTTACTTTCTTGCAATTAAAATAAATATTTTATTGACAGGTTAATCATTTCTCTTCCTTCTGTTGCTCAACATTTACTGGTGCTTCTCTTTGGAACATTCCATACCATTGCCACTTCAGCTGAGAGGGCCCAAACTGGCATGTCCTCAGAAGCTCTTGGGGTCAGTGTTGCTCCCAGTTTTTTTCAGTCATGTGTTAGTAATGGAAAAATGGCAAAAATGGAAGATGTCATCAGATTCAAGGTTAGGTTCATTTCCTTTTATAACAAGTACTGTTATTTATATTAATACAAACAAATTTTCATGATGATAAACTCTGTGATTAATATTTTCTATGACAGTATTTCTGCTTGCATAGCATTTCTATGCCAACCAAGAATATGCACTTTTTTCATGCTCTGTTTTCAAAACAGATGAAAGTTATTAGAACTAAGGATATCCTTGTTTGCAGACCATGTTATAGAGTTAAATTTTTAATAGATGGATTTTTTTATTGCTCTTACAGGAAAAATGATTAACTAGTAAAATAGCTTTAGTAAGACTGTAAGTTATAGATTTCATTACACTTTAAAGTCACCAAAACAAAGCATACCCTAGTATTTAATTGATTTTTATGGCTGCAAATGAATACTACTGTGTATAAAAACCAGCTGAAAGTTAAGTTAAAACTGTATAAAAATGAATCATAAAATGTTGTTGAAGCAAATTGTCAACCTATGAACATTTTTATTTGTTTATGAGTTTTAGAAAAGCCATTTTATAAGAGTCAATCAGCAGCCAAGCCAGGTTAACACTTTTTGTTCCATTCTACGTTTCTACTTGTAATTTGTTTTTTAGTTAATAAAAAGAAAGACTATCTGAAACCTTAAAATGACTTAGAACAATGAAAATATTAACTTTTTTCTAAGTTGTATTCATGCCTGTAATGAAAATGTAATGCCAGAAGTGACTGTTGCAATGGCTTCTTCTATTTTTCTATTGGGCCAAGGACAGTAAGATATAAGATTCTATCTTATTTAACTGCTGACATTAGAAGTCATTATTTAGTAATGTACTAGAGCTACATATTCTGATTGTTTTTTGTTTTTTTTACTGTTAGAAACAACAAACAAACCTTGGTTTAAATTTTCCACAGAAAAGGTGAATTTTTGTAGTTACTCTTATCATTGTGGTTATGAATGATAAATTATGCACTTCATCTTTTCATTATTTGAAAGGTGCGACATTTACTCTACAGGCAGAGATTTGTCAGGAAATATTTCTTACTGAAGTCCCATGATTCCAGCAATTTACACCCATTACTCTCCCCTTCCATTAAAACAACATAAAGGATTTTTCCATTAACCCTGTCATGACAGGCATCCTACACATGTCAAAAGGTTTTAGTGACTTACATTCAAAATTTTATTAATCTACTTTTTGTTAATGTTATTCCAATTAGTATAGCATAAAATCTTAGCTAACAATCCATATTTTAATAGTATACAAGATTTAAATTCTTAATTATATATGGCAGTATTAAAAAATATCCTGAATTCCCCTAGTGTGATACATGACACATGTTTCTGTATGCTTCTTCTCTTCTCTATTTTATCTACCATCCCTCCAATAACTGTGAAATTAAACGTAAATTACTCACTATAAAATTGTCATTGCTCAGATACACCATAATTTTTATAGTTTTCAATTTTGTTTGGTTACAGATTCATCAAATAGAAAATCAGATCCCACTTACCACACCCATCTGTCACATCCTCACTTTCAGGATTTATTAATAGTTCTCTCATACATTTAATTCTTTATTATCTATAACCAATAGAAAGCCAAGGTGTTCATCTATCAAATTATGTATTGTATAACATTGTTTTCTGAATGGAGAATTGTCAATTTCAGTGTTAGTACTAGCTTTGTTCTCACAGGAAATATAACAACTAGCTCGGATGAATTTGTAATGGCTCTTGTTGCATAGTTTGAAAGCCAGAAAAATTGTGAGAGTTAGGGGAAATTGTCTACTTTTTGTATGTTATTAGTCTTTGTTCTTTGGTGCATTAGTTAATTAAATAAAAATTATTGAGTGCATTACTACCATTGTTATAAAAAAAAGCAGGGTTAAGTGTCATCAGTAGTTTGGGTAAGTACTTTATTTCATGTTTATTCTTTACTTATTATTATAAAAATAACAAATGTAAAAATAGGTATCTTGAGGCTAGTTAAGGTTAGAGTAGGTAAAATAATAATAATATATTAAGAATGTTTCACGATGCACACATGCGAGCAGCTTGTGGGTAATGCAGTTCGATAGCGAAACATGACCTCCATGTTCCCCAAGTGATTTACAACTTATGGCAAAGTTGTATTTAGACATGGTTCAAAGGGCAATAAAACAATAAAATTTAATTATAAATAGAT